CCAGCTTCAACATCCCAGGATCCTATAGCTGGGGAGTGTCCACATCTCCTCTTCCAGGACCCCAAATCCCCGCTGCAGCCTCCCCTGGCGGTGCCTGGGGGCCCCGAGGTGGCACTCACTGGGACATCCGGCCGCTCCCACGCCCAGCGCCAGCGTGACGTTGTCCGGGCAGCAGCCGTAGACGCTCTGGCTGCAGTGCGTGACCAGCAGGGGCGGTGGGGTGGTGGCCAGGGCTGCGGGGGGAGGACAGCGACGCTCGGGTCATCGCAAATCCTCCTGGGGATGCTGGGAACCGGAGGGGATGGCCGGGGGATCCGGGAGTGGGGACTGGAGGGGATGGCCGGGGGATCCAGGAGTGGGGACACGGGAGGGACATGGAGGGGACACAGGGGGTACATGGGGGACACAGGGGACACAGGGGGGACACAAACTGGTGGGATCTGGGTCCCAGCCAGCTAGGGAGCTGTGTCCATGGACTGGGGGGCAGGATTTCCATCAGAAAACCCGAAGATGGTCCCTGCCAGAGCGATGGAAATGCTCCTGTCCCCTGGAGCGTCCCCCTGGGCAGCACCCCCACATCTCCTGCAGCTGTTCCCATTATCCAGCTGCTGTTCCCATTATCCAGCACTCCCTGCTCAGGCATTATCCCAGCCCAGAGTTGTCTCCATGGGCTGATGTTTTCCCCCATCAGGCAGCCACAGCCTCAGCTGCTGAGAGCCTTTCCAAACGCTCCCGCTGGCTCGGCTAATTAGTGAATAAATATTAATGAGCTATCGGCCAGCTCAGCTTCCTGCACGGGGGGTCACCACCTGTCACTGGGCCACCAGCAGGTCCCCAGGTGACGCCTTTCCCAGCACGGAATATTCCGGTCACCCAGGCAGGCGGAAACCCCTGAGCCCAGCAATGGCTTGAAGGCACCAAGGCCCTGGTGGCACCTCTGGGGACATCCAAAGGGGACTCCACCAGCCTGCCCTCCCGCATTCCAAAGGGATTTAGGCCTGGGAGTCGGCTCAGGGGTTTTGGAAGGATGGAGGATCACCAGCAGTTGAGGCTGTGGGCAGGTGGGGTCAGTCCCCTCTCTCAGGACCAGAGGAAAAGTTGCACCAGGGGAGGTTCAGGTTGGATATTTGGGGAGATTTGTTGACTGGAAGAGTGGTCAGGTTTTGGAATGGGCTGTCTAGGGAAGCGGTGGAATCGCCATCCCTGGAAACGTCCAGAAAACCTCGGGATGTGGCACTTGGGGACACGAATTGGGCAACAGGGGAAGACTTCTCCAGCTTCAACATCCCAGGATCCTATAGCTGGGGAGTGTCCACATCTCCTCTTCCAGGACCCCAAATCCCCGCTGCAGCCTCCCCTGGCGGTGCCTGGGGGCCCCGAGGTGGCACTCACTGGGACATCCGGCCGCTCCCACGCCCAGCGCCAGCGTGACGTTGTCCGGGCAGCAGCCGTAGACGCTCTGGCTGCAGTGCGTGACCAGCAGGGGCGGTGGGGTGGTGGCCAGGGCTGCGGGGGGAGGACAGCGACGCTCGGGTCATCGCAAATCCTCCTGGGGATGCTGGGAACCGGAGGGGATGGCCGGGGGATCCGGGAGTGGGGACTGGAGGGGATGGCCGGGGGATCCAGGAGTGGGGACAGCAGAGCACAGGGACATGGGTGGGGGGGGTGTCCCCTGTGAGCGGTTCCTGCTTATTCCCAGGGAAAGGGCATTAGGGACATGCCCAAGGGACACACCCAGGTGACACACCTGGGGACACACCCAGGGGACACATCCAGCAGGGAGGGGTGGCTTCCCTGAGGGGACACACCCAGGGGACACACCCAGGGACACACCCAGGGACACACCCAGGGACACACCCAGGGATACCTGGGGACACACCCAGCAGGGAGGGGTGGCTTCCCTCAGGGGACACACCCAGGGGACACACCCAGGGGACACACCCAGCAGGGAGAGGTGGCTTCCCTCAGGGACACACCCAGGGACACACCCAGGGGACACCCGTGGACACGCCCAGCCAGGAGGGGTGGCTTCCCTCAGGGGACTCACCCCTACAGGCTCCCTGGCTGGTGACAAAGAGCTCCTGGTGTTTTTCACACCGCGTCTTCTTCAGCTCACACTCACTGGCGTAGGTGACACCGTCAGAGCCACACACCTGCCAGCACAGTGAGGGGACAGCTCAGGGGTGTCTGTCCTGGCACGGGGTGCCTGTCCTGGCACGGGGTGCCTGTGTGCCCAGGGAGGGCCGGCAGGAGGGCAGGGCTCACCGGGCTGCGGGGCACGGCCAGGCAGGTGAAGTCACACACGCAGGGCTCGTCCTCAGCGTCCTCGTCCCACCAGCCCCCGAACTGCCGGCACCGCTCCTGCTCGCACTCGCTGCCATCCCCCGAGCCGGAGCCCCCCGAGCCGCACTCTGGGGACAAGGACACGGTGGCACAGGGCTCCCTTCCGGCGGGGCACAGCCGGGGGACGCACGGGGGACGGGGACAAAGCCCCGTCCAGGTTTGAGGACGCGTCCAGAGCTGCACAGACCCATCCAAATCCCAGGATATTTCACCTTCCAGCCCCAAAATCCTGCCCCAGGCGGACGAGGCAGGTGTCCCACTGCTGGCGGGGGTTGTGACAGTGCAAAGGGGCTCGAGCAGGTGGCCCGAGCTCCTCCTCCCCCAGCTGTGCCCACCCAGCTGCCGCTGGCTGCAGTGGCAGTCCCGCTCCGTGCTGGGACCCAGCTCCTCTCCCCATCCCAAACCCACCTGCACAGGGAGCTGGGGATGAGCTGGGGAGGGCTGGGATTTGGGGCAGGGAGAGGTTTGAAATCCCTGGTGCTCTGCAGGAAGCTGCAGCCGCAGCAGCAGAGATGTGGCTGATTTCAAAGGCTGCTGAAAGGGGAAAAGGAGAGGGGGGAAGGGGAACCCGGCCCTTTTTATGGAGTGATCAAAGCCTGGGCTTTGGCATTACATAGAGAATTATTCAGGCTCTGCTCGCAGAGGGACAGCAACCTGAAATCCCCCGAGCAGGGCTGTGATCAAACACCCTGTTCTGTCTGTTCCCCTCTCCTCAGCTCTGCCCTGCTCTCACGTCCTTCCCAGCAGCACCACGTGTGCCAGGGAATCTCAGCTCCCTCCCTGTGCCAGCAGGAATCTGCAGCTTTCCCCACAGTGGGAAAATTCAGCGGGTTCTTTATTTTCAGGCTCACCAAGCAAGGTAGAGCTGACCCCAAAACCTTCCCTGGAGCTCTGCTGGCTCAACAGAGCCATGGCATGGGTTGGGTTGGGAGGGAGCCGAAAGATCATCCAGTTCCAAAGCCCTGCCAGGGGCCAGGATGCCAGGGATGCCATTGGAGAGGGCAAATTTACACGGGATGCAGAGACAGGACAAGGGGGAATGGCTTCAAACTGAAAAACGGGAAATTCAGGTGGGAAATAGGGGAAAAATTCCTCCCTGTGAGGGTGGGGAGGCCCTGGCTCCATGGGTAGTTTGGATAGAATTGGGAAAAACTAGGATAGTGGAGTGGGGATTGGAATTGGAAGGGGGCTGGCACAGAACTGGGGGTGCTGGGGGTCCTGTGGGGCACAGAGGACAGCCGGGAAATGTGGCTGGCACAGGGCCTGCTGTTTTGGGGGGTTTGGAGTCTGACAGGGCACAGGGGGCAGTGAAGGACACGTGGCTATAACAGGACCTGCTGTTTTGGGGTTTTGGGGTCTGACGGGGCACAGGACCTGCTGTTTTGGGGGTTTTTGGGGTCTCACAGGGCACAGGGGGCAGTGAGAGACATGTGGCTGGCACAGGACCTGCTGTTCTGGGGGGTTTGGGGTCTGATGGGGCACAGGACCTGCTGTTCTGAGGGGTTTTTGGGGTCTGACAGGGCACAGGACCTGCTGTTCTGGGGGATTTTTGGGGTCTCACAGGGCACAGGGGGCAGCAGTGAAGCTCCTGGTGCACAAACCCTCTCCCCTTTCCCCCAGCCGTGGGGGCAGCAGGACCAACCTACCGTCCTCGCAGGGTCCCATCCTGGCCACCTCGATGCTCCTCTGTAGCTGGCACGAGGCCACCTGCAGCTGGCAGGGGCTGCCGTAGGTGACGCCGTCGGTGCCGCACACCGGGGCCGGGGGCTGGCGCTCGCAGCGCGGGCACAGGCACTGCCCGGCCACGCAGCGGCTCCCGAAGGAGCACACGGAGCTGCCACACGACTCTGGGACACAGGGAGGGACACAGGGAGAGACACAGGGAGGGACACAGGGAGAGACACACTCAGCCACCCCAGCGGCTCCTGTGGCCACCTGCGAGGGGGCAGTTATTGTCACCTCATCCCTTCGTTAAACCCCGCAAATTACTGGGTGCCCACCCTGAGCGTTTTGGATTGCTCAGCAGCAATTTTTGGAGGAAAAATCCCATTTAATGGTTTGTTCTGGGAGTCAGCTGCCACCCTCACCCATCCTCCCCCAAATTCTTGGAGAATCTCACCCCAGAACACCCAGCCCCAGCTGCACAGGTTTTTATGAGGCTCGAATCATCATGGCAGCTTTTGTCCTAATGAAGAAGCTGAGCAGGGCTTTTAATTCATTAAGAAATTAGCCCAGACGGCTCCCCCGGCTGGGGAGTGGGGAGGGGAGGCAGGAACAAAGAGGAATTGACCCCAGGGGATGGAGGGGAGGGAAAGGATCAAACAGAGCCTCGTGCTCTCAGCTCTGCTGCTGGCTGTTAACACGTTTTTAGCCTAATTCCCAACTTGGCCCCATGGACATTAATCCAATTTCTTTGCTTGGCTCAGACAAATAACACGGGGGGCATTTCCAGCGAGAGAGAAACCCAAACCAGCTGGAGCTAAAAAGCTGCTGGAGAGCCCAAAATATCCAATTATTCCAGAGGTTAAAGGGATGGTCACTCGGGCAGGGCGCGCGAGTGACCAAATCCGGGATAAAAGTGGGATCAGAGCAGGACGAGCGGGGCCGAGCATCCTCTCCCTGCGCCTCCAGCAGCACGGGTGACCCGGGGGACGCAGGGGACGCTGGCACACTCACGGCAGTGGCCCTGGGCAGCCACCAGGATGGTTTTCTGCTGGGTGCAGGCGCGGACGTGCAGCTCGCACTCGCTGCCGTAGGTGTTGCCGTCGGTGCCGCAGACGGGCTGTGCCGAGGGCACGCACTCTGTGGGGCACACACAGCGCCCCGTCTCCGCCTCGCAGATGGCACCAAACTGGCACTTGCCACAGCGGTCTGTGCAGGGAGAGGGGAGAAATCAGGATTGAAACAGCACGGGAGGTGTGGGATTCCACAGGAATCATGGAATTGTCTGGGTTGGAGTTAAAGCTCATCTTTAAGGGACACCCTCCGCTCTCCGGGGCGGCTCCAAGCCGGACGCCTCCAGGGATGAGGCAGACACAGCTCTGGGCAACCTCGCCACCCTCCCAAAAATCCCACCCAAAATCCCACCCAAACCTCCCAAGGCAGCTCGGAACCCAACCAATGCAGAAATAAAACTCGCTGAAAGGAAGGGATGCAGGAGCAGCGAGAGGGTGGGAGGAGAAAGGCAAGAACTCCTCTAACAGCCATCAAGGCCTGGAGAAAGGGGCTGAAGTGTCACTGTCACCACAGCTGTTCCAGCAAAGAAGTGGGAGTGATCACAATTACAGGGAGCAAGAAATCAGCCACCAGCTCCAGGCGGAGAGGCAGCAGATTCCCACAGGAAGATGTGGGAAGGGGAATTCCACCTTCAGCTTGATTGTTTTCCTGGATATGCAGGCGTAACATCACACCTGGCACACTCCCAGCCAGGCTGGGGGCACAGAAAACCTTGATTTTGTAAAAATTCCCCTCTCCAAGCAGCTCTCCCTCCTCGCAGGAGACAGCAGCCAGCACATCCCCTGACTCCTGGGTATTCACTGATTCATCCTCCCCTCCCAACACCTCCCTTCCCTCCCTGCCAGTCATTTCACCAGGAATTTGGCTCCAAGGTGCTTTTCCTGATTTTCTCTTTCACACAGCAGCTGCTGCCTTGGCAATGGGGAGGAGGAGGACGCACAAACCCCCTGCTCGGTTCCTGCTGTTGGCCTGGTGGTTTTTATCCTGGCCTGGAGGTTTTTATCCTGGCCTGGAGGTTTTTATCCTGCCCTGGTGATTTTATTCTGCCCTGGAGGTTTTTTTCCTGCCCTGGTGGTTTTTATCCTGCCCTGGAGGTTTTTATCCTGCTCTGGACATTTTTATCCTTCCCTGGAGATTTTTTTCTGTGGCAGAAATCCTGGCCCGTGCTAGGGATCTGTGGCTCGAGGGGATGATGAGAGCTGCCAGCTCCTGATTCCCAGCATGAAGGTTTGGGGCAGGAAATCTGTATTTTGATCCATCTGCCATTAGCTCAGCCCCACCTGAACATCCCAAAGATTTGGTTCTGGGAGAATCCCGTTTAGCCCAGGCTGTGCCAGGCTGCAAACCCTGACTGGCACGGGGCAGATGGAAGAGCCCGGAGCAGGGAATGGACACGGCCCTGAGGTTGCCAGAGCTCCAGGAGTGTTTGACACCACTCCAGGGTGGGATTGGTGGGGTGGATTCAGGGATCCTGTGGATCCCAGCCCAGGATATTCTGTGGTTCTGTGATACAGGAAGGTCTGAGCTGTGTTTGGGTTCTCCTCGGGGATTGGGATGGATCCTGCTGACCTCACCCCAGGGCAGGGAGGGGCAGGGACAGCGCCAGGCCCGGTGTGCAGTGGGGGGGGACAGCTCCCCACTCATCCCGAGCTGGGGGAACAGCTCCTCACTCATCCCGAGCACAGGGAACAGCTCCTCACTCATCCTGAGCTGGGGGAACAGCTCCTCACTCATCCTGAGCTGGGGGAACAGCTCCTCACTCATCCTGAGCTGGGGGAACAGCTCCTCACTCATCCTGAGCACAGGGAACAGCTCCTCACTCATCCTGAGCTGGGGGAACAGCTCCTCACTCATCCCGAGCACAGGGAACAGCTCCTCACTCATCCTGAGCACAGGGAACAGCTCCTCACTCATCCCGAGCACAGGGAACAGCTCCTCACTCATCCCGAGCTGGGGGAACAGCTCCTCACTCATCCTGAGCTGGGGGAACAGCTCCTCACTCATTCCGACTGTCCCTCAGCGGGGATGGAATATCCCGGGTGGGTTCTCGATCCTCTCCCACCCCCACTGAGCTGGAACAGCCCAAACCCCCTGTGCCCACGGGCAGCGCCACAGCCGTGCTCAGGCACCGCTCCCTGTGCGCCGGCACACGGATGAACAACTGCGACAACCGAGCAACAACCAAACAACTGCAACAACCGAGCAACAGCTGAACAGCAACCAGACAGCAACTGCAACAACCAAACAAGAACCAGACAGCAACTGCAACAACCAAACAACAGCTGAACAACAACCAAACAACAAGCAACAACCAGACAGCAACTGCAACAACTGAACAACAGCTGAACAACAACCAGACAACAACCAGACAGCAACTGCAGCTGAACAACAACCAAACAGCAACTGCAACAGCCGAACAAGAACCAGACAGCAACTGCAACCGAACAACAACCGAACGGCAACCGAACAGCTACTGCAACAACCAAACAACAGCTGAACAACAACCGAACAACCCGACAGCAACTGCAACAACCAAACAACAGCTGAACAACAACTGAACAACAACCAGACAGCAACTGCAGCAACCGAACAAGAACTGAACAGCAACTACAACTGAACAACAACCGAACAGCAACTGACCAAACAGCAACTGCAACAACCAAACAACCGAACAGCAACTGAACAACAATTGAACAGCAACTGAACAACCAAACAACAACAATTAAACAACCAAACAACCAAGCAACAACAGAACAACAACAAAACAACAACAAAACAACCAAACAGCAATGAAACAGCAACCAAGCATCAACCTCCAGCACAAATGTCCCCACAGAGCCCCTTGTGCTTGCCCCTGATGTCCTTCTGGAGCACACAGGCCATGAACAACTACAAAACAACAACAACAAAACAAGAACCTCCAGCCCAAATTTCACCTCAGGGCCCCTTGTGCTTCACCCTGATGTCCCTTTTGAGGTCACAGGCCAATAACAACAACAAAACAACACCAAACCCCAAATCTCACCACAGGGCCCCTTGTCCTTGGCCCTGACATTCCTCTGAAGGACACAGGCCATGAACAACAAAACAACAATCCCACCCAAAAATCTTACCACAGGGCCCCTTGTCCTTCATCCTGATGTCCCTTTTGAGGACACAAGCCAACAACAACAACAAGAACAATACAAGAACAAAACAGGAACAAACCAAGAACTTCTGCCCCAAATTTCACCACAGGGCCCCTTGTCCTTGACCCTGATGTCCTTTTTGAGGACACAGCCAGCGCCATCACCACCAGTACCATGATCCCAGCCCGTCCTTACCGCAGGGCCCCTTGTGCTTGATGCCGATGTCCCTCTGGAGCACGCAGGCCATGGCGCGCAGCTCGCAGGGGTTGCCGTAGGTGCGCTGGTCGCTGCCGCACACGGGGTCGTAGCGGCCCTGGCACTGCTGCTGGCACTCGCACACGGCCTCCTGGTTCTTCACCACGCACGTGGCCCCGAAGGCGCACTCCACGCTCAGGCAGGGGCTGGGCGTGCCCAGGTCTGCGGAGGGGACAGGAGAGGCGT